GTCCAGGGTTCGAAATGAAGTAACTGCCCATCTCTTTCTTGGAAAGAATTGAGATTGCTGCTTCTTTACACCCTTAACTCTTTCTTTCACAGAGCCATTGGTAGGGCCCACAACTGGGGCTATGATTGAAGGTGCCAGCCTTTGGAATAAGGCATGATCATTCACTAGGCGAAAAGCACAATCCTGCCATTCGCCAGTATTCACTCCTAGCAAGTGGAAACCCACCTGTCGTGTCAGAGGTGGGAATACAAAACAGACCGGCGCTAGGCCCAAGGCATCATCCTTCCATCCTCCCCCTGCAGACACACCATTCTCACGCGAGTCAAGTTTAAATCCCCAGGACAGCCCAGCCTCGGGCATCGAAACTGTTCTGTGCCTCTGGTGCGCCCTGGCCAAAACGCACCCACGCTTACTTACTGAACGGAATGCTAGCATCCTATCGCTCGTCGCCATGAGCCCCCGTCGCCTTGTCCAGAAATGTCCAGGGGGGGGAAAGATGCCCCAACAGCAGGCGATCCACAGCTTCCCACCCTGGATCTGCCAACAACTGAGATCGAAACCAAAAAGTGACAGCTAAACATTATCCTCCCGGGGCCGGGTGCGGCGAGCGTGGCACTTCGTGGGCAGAGCGCCAAAGTCCGAGCAGCGACAGACCAGGAACCGAGACAAGTCAGATGTTTTGTTTTGTTTCCTCTTCCAGGATCTAAGCAGCATTCATGGCATGGTGGGGGTGGGGGGCACAAAGGTCCCACCCCACTATCCCAGCCCCTGCAAATCATCTCCGAAGGAAAGAGTCTGGATTCTGAACATGATATTCTCCTACATTTCTAAAAGAAATTCCATGAGCATTCGCTGATGTGCGTTCAAAGAGCAACTCCTCTCTCTTTCTCTTTCTCCCGCCTCCAAACATATTTTCATTAACTGTTTCATAGCATCATCTCATACCCTGGTGGGGGAAATCGCCCGGCGAACATTTCCTGGCTAATTTGTAATGTTTCAGTTGGTTCTAGTTCACCTCTGGAGCCAGACAGAGAGAAGGCAGAGAGCTCTTGTCGGCTTTGAAAAATCTGAGGATTTATCACCTTGCTTTGACTTCTTTCAGTATTCTTTCTTCAGCCTCTTTACATTTCTGACAATTTTGTTTGTATTTTTTTTTTTTTTTTGCACAGTGTTGTGTGGAGAGCTTGAAAGGATCTATTTACCGGCAATTTCCTTTTTTAAGACACAAGACATAACTTAGTTACATTGCAATTGCAACGCAATAAAGTAGTGTTTTGATCCACGAAAACTTGCGCAATTGCAATGCAATAAAGTAGTGTTTTGATCCACAAAAACTTGCATACTGTATGATGATTTTAAATTGGTCTATAAAGGTATCTCCTGTCATGAATTTGATTATGAAAATAGAATAGTGTTGTATTTCATAAGATTTAGTTCAGAGCTGCAACGAAAAAGCTAGAAATCTGCTTATGCCCAGGTGCTAATTAGAGAGAAAATGTACAAGGTCAGTTCTTCTCCAGCTAAAGAAAAAA